CAGAAACGGGCATGGAGACAGGTGTGGAGGCAGGCACAGAGACAAGCGCAGAGGCGGGGACGGAAGTACATGTAGTACCCACAAAGTCAGTAATCAGGAAGGAGACAGACACAGAAACAGGCACAGAGACAGGTACGGAGGCAGGCACARAGGTAGGCATAGAGGCGGGCATGGACGTACACGAGGTACCCATAGGGTCAATGACCTGGAACAGTTGCAGGTTAGGGTAATTACGCACGAGATCACAGATGGCAGTAATAGTTTGAACCATGGCACCGCCATTCCATAATTCCCAAGAACCAGAGGCACAGACAAGAGCGGTGTAGTGGCCAGGAGTATGTAGAATATAGGCAYAAACGTGCGAACAGTGGTCCGGGTCGCCACCCGAAGGGGCACGCTGCATATCAAGCCGGCGCCTTATCAAAGCAGTCTCCAAAACACAGACATTGAATCCCCCATGTCGGGTGTAATTACTATCCTGTGGGGGATGCAGAGTCGGGTTATCGCCATATAACTCACGTTCCTGAGCATCAAGATAGGAAGCAATGGCCAAGAAATCGGAAAGAGTATATGGTTCCCGACGATAGGCTTGCAGGCAGATGTTAGTAGCAGCGAGACCACACAGATTCGGTGGAGGCCAGTCAGGCGGATTTTCTACAGAATCTCCTACAGTCCCCTTGCCAAGTTCATCCTCCAATAGCCCCTCGCCATCATCCCTCCTGTTTTGTGTTTGCCGCGTTGCAGAAAGGTCTGCAGTCGAAGAGCGTTGCAGGCGTGGTAAGGATGCTTGGGGCGGCAAAAGACGAGGACGGGATGTTGGGGAGGGACGTGGTGAGGAGAATGAACGGGTTCTTCTTCGTCCAAGAACAGAGATGGAGGAAAGGGGAGTAAGCTGAGGTTGGGAAGTAGATCAAAGTCGGCATCTAGGACGGGGAAGCAGGCTTTCTGCAGGGGCAGAACATCATGACAGAGTCTGTGTGGACGAAGTGGTTTGTGGATTAGGAAGCGGGGTAACGGATGGCGACAAAACCAGGGGAGGTAGGAGTGGTGAAGACAGGGGTGGTAGAGTTGTCGGAAGGTGGGTAACAGACGGTGATAAAACCAGGGGAAATATAGGTGGTGAAGACGGGGGGGATGAAGTCAAGGGTGGTGAAGTGGCTGAAGCAGAGACAAGGGGGGCAGTCGTAGGTGAGACCCGAAGACGGGACTCTGCAGGTGGTAATGCAGGCATGGCCACGGATGCCATGGAGGAACGCACCGAGACCAAGGGCGACAAAGCAGCTGCGGTGGTCACGGATGCCATGGAGGAACACACCGAGACCAAGGGTGACACAACAGCTGTGGTGGCACCAGATGCCATGTAGGAACACACAGAGACCAAGGGCGACACAGCAGTTGCGGGTCGAGTTGCTCCCGCGGAATCAACCATGGAAGCAACCAAGGCCGATGAGGAAGAGGCTGCGAACGGAAAAGGGGCAGCCACGGTCACAAACGGCATGGAAGCGGTTACTAAGATTGATGAGGACGCAGGTGTGGTAGACGCAAGTAATGAAGAAGAGGTTGTGATAGGTGTGACAGGCGCCGATAATGAAGAAGGGGTTGTGACAGGCATAGTCCGAGGACATTGTGTGGATACCCGAGAAAGCGGGTGATGAATAGACCATCGAAGCATGCTGCGGAACCAGTTGGAGAGGCGGGTCACGTGTGCAGGGTACGTGTGTTGACGTTTACGAATATAGGAAGTCCATCCTTTCGCAAGCGTTGTTGGAGAGTGCCCGCGAAAAACCATGCGGCATGTGAGCATCGCTGCTGCAGTTTTGAAATCATACCAGTTGTTGCAGACATACTCAAACCTACTAAGCTGGTCTGTAAACACTCCCGCCGGCTGGTGCGCAGGGACGTTAGACGTAGCACTAGGATAACGAATAACAGAGAAATTCCATTCAGCTGCTTTGTCAAAGACACTTATACGCAGGGAACCATCAGGGCGGACTTGGAGGCGTGCACCTAAGAATGTGCAAGAGCCATTAGGCGTTGTGGTCTCCTTCCATTCGAGGCCATAGTGTTCTGACGGTGGTGGCAGATGTCCCCATGAGAGAACATCATTGATCAAGCGGTATGTGAACGCATACTGTAGAGCTGCTCGAAGATCACACTGCTGGAGGTCATCAACAAATCGAGCCTCATCCCAATACAATGTCAAATTAGCTATCTCCGGACCAGAATTAGTCCCCATCGGGATGCCAATCAGCTAATGTCGCAAGGTGTTGTCCGCTGCATAAAGATACGTATTTGTCACAATGAAATGGAAATGTTCAAGAATTTGGGAAACAGTCAAGGTGTTTGGTCCGGTATCAACCGTCCACTCCCCTTGACGGGGCCCTTTAACAATCATGTTAAGGGTAGGAGGATGTGTGTGCCCCTGTGCGTGTTGTTGTAAGGCATACGTGTAGGCTTCCTCAACCGCTTTTGATACATTATGACAAATACGGTCATGAGGAAAATTGGTATACATAGTTGTGAAATCAACAGTGCGAGGAGCATGGTCACGAAGAGAAGCGGAATTATGTTTGAGATCAAGCATCACCTCCTCAGCGCTTTGCACAATCCAGCACCGTCTCACACCGCTTTGCTGATACAACACATTATCCTTCTCACGGAGAGTTTCAATGACTCCTTGTAGTGCAACGTTGAGGCGGGCAGAAGCGACGGTAGTACTGGCCAAGGGKTTGTGGGGAGGTCGATGGAGTGCATGAACAGATGGCGCAGCTGATCGAGATCGCTGCGGCAGGGAGAGATTATTCCGCTCCGTGACGCCGACAACACTGCGAAGCCCAGAGGGCGATCTGTGCGCTTTAAGTGCATAGTACAGATATGGCAGCGTGTCTTTGTGTGTATATCCCCACCGATGATTCCAGAGCGCGTGATGTTCCAGGATATCTACGACAGACTCAAGAGGCACATCATAGGTAGGGCTGTCCAAATAAGCAGATAGATGAGACAGGTACCAACTTTTACAACAGATTGCCAAGTTATGTGAGGTCTTGTCGACAGGAACAATAGCAAAGTGTTATTGAAGGTGTCTCAAAGCCCTGTGCACCAAGTGAAGGGAGTGCGGTTGTCGTGTGGTAGTGTGGGGGGATGAGATGTTGCTTTGGCAACGTGTGAGAACGGCTTGAGCGCCACTACTGCAATTTGTTCAGAGTGGCCGGCCGAAGCTGCTCGGAGACCGACCTCAAGTATTTAGCAATATACTCGTCAAGGCCGACTCTAACAGTTTGAAGCACATCAGCGATTTGTCCATTAAGACGATACTTCGAGCCTTCATGGAACAAGTCGTGGAGGCGATCATCAGGAATGATGTCGCAGTCGGTTGTAACAACATGGCCGTCGACTAAGTGTCAGCAGTCAGGAAACACTTTCCGACATTGACAGTCTGAGGGGTCAGGCAAGGAGATCCCAGGTGTGACGTTGAGCGCAACTTCCGTGAAATTAGAAAATTGGACGCAAGTTGGCAGCAACAACTTATCACAAATACGCAGGTGTGCGGCATCAGGGTCAGGGTGCAAGTGGAGCACCTGGGGTGCATGCAAGGCTTGCCGCATCTCCGTTACCTGAGACACCTCGTGCATGTGCACAACTTTAACATGATCAAGGAAGGCATCTTGAGACCGAGCTGTGTATCGCTGGCGGACATGTTAATACTTCCGAATCAGGCATTCAAGCTGACAGATATGCGCAGTCATATCTGCATTAGAGATATTATTGCTCAACCACTGCAGCAAGCAGGCACGCCAAACTGACATTGCTTGCTGGATGACAGATTCCATCTGTTGCGAATTGCCAGCAGCAGCCTGTGAGAGAAGATTGTGCAATGCAGACCGGATTTGAAAGTCCAGGCCTGAACGCAAATCAATAGGCTGGGGCTGTTGATGGTCTGACGGACGAGGGCCTATATATATTGTCACAGAACCATTCCCTATATATCGTCAAATAGAACTGCCCGGTAAACCGTAGGCAGAGACGGAGAAGAGGACAACAAACGAGGGGCTGTATATAGTCAAACAGAGCTGCCCAGTAAACCGTAGGCAGAGAGGGAGAAGACGACAACAAACGAGGGGCTGTAGCAAACTGTTTCGTCGGAGTTATATAACCCTGTAGCAGTCACACCCGTGCTCAAACCTCCAACATGGGAACATGCGGGAGCTGCACCCACCAGCAGGTGCGATACCTGTTACAGCAGGTGGGCGATACCGGCCAGGGGTCAGCCGGTAGCATCAGGACCGAGCTTCTTCGATGTGCCAGTCACTGTGCCTCCCCCCCTCCAGTCCCCTCCCCCTATGAACATCAGCACTCTGCTCAATGCCACTCGGGGGGACCAACGGTATATCTCTACATGGTGGGGCGCCAGGCTTGCCCAGGAACGTATTGGAACGACAAA